AAACAAAAAACACCCAACCAGAAGAGCAAAAAGAAAAAAGAACCTAGAAATATGAAGATAGTATAAGGAGCTTCTGGGACAAATTCAAGAGGCTCAACATTCCTATTATTGGGGTGCCAGAAGGGGAAGAAAGAGAGCAAGAAATTGAAAACCTATTTGAAAAAATAATGACAGAAAACTTCCCCTACCTGGGGAAAGAAATAGACTTACAAGTCCAGGAAGCACAGAGGGTCCCAAACAAGAGGAACCCAAAGAGGCCCACAGCAAGACACATCATAATTAAAATGCCAAAGGTTAAAGACAAAGAGAGAATCTTAAAAGCAGCAAGAGAAAAGCAGTTAGTTACCTACAAGGGAGCACCCATACGACTGTCAGCTGATTTCTCAACAGAAACTTTGCAGGCCAGAAGGGAGTGGCAAGTAATATTCAAAGTGATGAAAAATATGGAACTACAACCAAGATTGCTCTACCCAGCAAAGCTATCATTTAGAATTGAAGGTCAGATAAAGAGTGTCACAGATAAGAAAAAGCTAAAGGAGTTGATCACCACCAGACCAGCACTACAGGAAAAGTTGAAGGGTCTTCTTTAAGAAACTAGTGAACAAAAGAATCTGACGAACTAAATAAAGCCAGAGACACTGACGCATGCAACAGACAATTGTATTTCAGAGGAAATAGGGAAGGGGGGTGGAGGGTGGGAAGAGATTAACCAAAGAAGTTATATGCATATATGCATAACCCATAGACACAGACAATAACGGGGTGAAGGCCTGGGGAGGGAGTGGGAGTGAAGTGGAGGGGGTCAGTTGGGGGTGGGGGAAATGGGACACCTGTAATACTGTCAACAATAAAGATAAATTAAAAAAATAATATGCATATAAAACTTAAAAAATAAAATAAAATTTAAAAAATAAATTTAAAAATTGCTGTGAGATAACATTTATATCTCCAGTGTGGCACAAATGAAAGTTTGACAACAGTAAATTTTGGCAAGTATATGGAGGAATAGGAATGTTCATCTTTTTCCAGTGGGACTGCAAATGCAAGGTACCACTTCCTAAGTGTCAGTTTGGACATTCACAAATACTATGGCCCAGCAACTCCATTCTTAAGTAAGTACCATAATGAAAGTCTTAGGCATATGTGCCAGCAGACACACACAAAATGTTCAGAATATCTAGGTTGCCGTAATGCCCAAAATGGAAAACACTGGTATTTGTTTTTACTTATTTTGCTCTTTAGCATAAAACATCCTGCCTCACATTGACATACCACTTATCTTTACCACCTGGGTTGGGTGTTGTTTTATTTTTGGTGGGGGAACTCCTTGTAGGTTATATGTATAGTCCTTTGCCTTGTGAGGACCAACCAATTAATAATGCTCATGATAATATACTGAGAAACATAAAAATTAAAATGAAATAGAGCTATTTGGTCACGTCTATTGGCATGTGAGCCCTCAGAAGGGCAAGGAAACAATGTTTCTGTGCCTTGTGTATTAAATGCCGTGTCGACATGAATATCTGAAGAAGGAATAGATTTGTGCAGGAGAGGACACTTGCTCGTTTGACTTGGCTTCCATTCCAGTCTCCCAATCCTTCAGTAATGCTTAGAAACAGCCTCTACGGCAAGCACTCTTAAATTTATCTCACCTTCAGTCAGAAGGTGGAATATTTTAGTGCTCTTTTCTTTTTCTTTTTTTTTAAATATATCTTTATTGATTTCAGAGAGAGGACAGGAGAGGGAGAGAGAGAGAGGAACATCAGTGATGAGAGAGTCATTGATCGAGCCTGCAACCTGGGCATGTGCCCTGACCGGGAATTGAACCCCGATTGCCTGGATCCTAGGTTGACGCTCAACCGCTGAGCTACGCCCGGCCAGGCTTTAGTGCTTTTTTCATGTGCACATTATGCTCCACTTATTTTCATTGCTCCCTGCATGTTCTGTGAAATCATTTTTGAGTGACACTCAGTGTCAGATCCATGAGGCAGGCACTGCATTTCAAATACACAGCAGGCCCACGGTAAGAATCTATTACTAAGTGCAAGGATGCTTCCTTTCAGTGGCGCAATTCTGCTCTTTTCCTCTTCTTCACATATGACAGTATCACCGCCAGAAACTGGCAGACTTCAGTCCCTCTGACAGAATATACAGAAGCCACCTCAATCTCAACCCTTCCTGGCAGACGGTTAAACAGATACCGACATGAGTTAGCAGCTAAAGGCTGGAAAGAACACACAAATATGATCTTACTTTGATGTTTATCCTTCGTTCACATGTATACCATGCCATGTTAACCTGAATGCTCTCTTCACTCCCTTTCAAATCATTCCAAGTTCACATGTTTTTTCAGCAAACAGAGGCTGTAGATGAGGTTGCAACTAAAGCTCATGTGTGCTTTAAGTTCATAGAGGAGCCTCCCAATATGATCCTCATTTCATCACTGAGAAATTTCCCAGAAGGAGCTTCAGACTCACCTTTATTGAACAATGTGCTGACCATAAAGGTGAAGAATATCGTGGCGATAGCAAAACACAGCAAAAAGACAAAAATGACAGATGGGTCACTGTACTGGATGATCGGCACAGGTTTCATCTAGCAAAAGAAGTCAGGAAGCCAGTTTAGTAATACCCCTGGTGGTGTCACAGCCAAACAGAAAACGGAGAAATGAAGCATCTTTAAATATTTTAATAGTCCTGGTGAAATGAATGGCAATGCTCAGGGGGATGCAGAGTAAACAATTCACTGCCTCCAGAAGCTCCCCACACGTAGGTTTAAAGGTTACTTTGTCAGGTACTAAGCAGGCACATGTTCGTTCCCTGGCAACCTGAGGGCAAGAGGCCCACACCAGGTCCCTGTTTTCCCTCTTAAAGTTTAGCTCCAGCAAACAAGACACTTGCCTTGGCAAAGAAAATTAGGCACATAAAAAAGATGGTGATCAAATACAGAGTGAGGAACGTGAGGAAATAGGCAGCCCAGAGCATCCAGGTACTGAGTCCTATCATGAGCTGGTACTCCTGTGGAAGCATCAACACAAACCAAACATATAAAGCTTGTAATATACAAAAAGCATTCACCACATTATCTAATTTAATTCCCACTACAGCCACAAAAGGTTATGTAACAGCATGCCCAGCGTATGGCGGGGGAAGTCAAAGCTCAGAATGTCACGTGACTCGATTATGATGCTTCCGCTGGTGAGTGGCAATGCTGTGATGCTTCTAAGTCTTGATATGATTTCCCCAGAATCTTAAGTAAAACTATAGACCACAGATTAATTTCTCCTTCCTATTTATTATGTTAAAGGAATGTACACCACCAAGAGTGAACCCGAATTTAAACTCAGACTATAAATGACTGTGATGTGTCAAGGCAGGTTTGTCAACTAACAAATATGCCACTCTGGTGGGGGATGTTGATAATATGGGAATCTATGCACGTGCAGGGGCTGTGTGGGAAATCTGTAAGACTTCCTCTCAATTTTGATGGATATTGAGGGTATTGTGCTAAGTGAAATAAGTCAGACAAGGAAAGATAAATGCCATATAATCTCACATGTGGAATTTTTAAAAAGAGAGAGAGAGAAGAGAGAGAGAGAGGGAGAGAGAGAGAGAAACAATAAAAACAAGCTCATAGATATAGAACATACTGGTGGTTGCCAAAAGCAGGAGTTGCTGGAGAGTGGATCCTAAAAGTCCTTATGACATGAAAAAGAATTTTTTGTAACTATATCTGGTGATGAGTGTTAACTAGACTTATGGTAGTGATCATTTCACAATGTATACAATATTGAATCGTTTTTCTACTCCTGAAAGTAACAGAATGTCATATGTCAATTATACCTCAATATAAATAAACTTTATTTCAGTCTGTTTCTTTCTTTCTTTTCTTTTCAATTGCTCTTTCTATAGCTTCTTAAAAAAGATGCTTAGATCACCTGTCTTTGTTTTTAATAATAGTCATTGAAAGCTATAAACTTCCCTTAAAGCTCAGGTTTAGTTGTACATCAGCAATTTTGAGGAGTTGTATTTTCACTATTATTCAGGTTGAGATATTTTCCAATTCCTTTGTAACTTATTCTTTGACCTATTGATTGTCTATAAGTTTCTTGTTTAATTACAAAAATACTGGAGTTTTCCTAGATATCATACTGTTCCTGAGTCTTAATTTTCCATCTATTATTATTTTTAAAATGTACTTGTACTATTTCAATGTTTTTAAGTTTGAGGCTTGTTTTATGACAGCATATGGTCTACTTCCAAATATTTGCTTTCTCCTAGATGTATTACACATATTGAATCTATAATTTAATTCCATTTTGATAAGAGAATACTCTCTATAACTTCAAGTATCTGGTCTATCAGTACACTTGAAAAGAATGTGTACTGTACCATTATCAAGCACAGTGTTTTACAAATATTACTTAGGTTAAGGTAGTTGAGAGTGTGGTTGAGACTTACTTTAGATCCCAAAACACAAACAGGTTGAACTGAAAAGATGGAAAAAGATGTCCCATGCAAGTGGTAACCAACAGAGAGCTAGGGTAGCTCTACTAATAGCAGACAAAACAGACTTAAATCAAAACTTTTACAGGACACAAAGAAAAACATTGCGTGTTGAAAAGAGGGTCAGTTTACCACAAAGGTGTAATAATTACAACACGTGTGCATCAACATCATGGCTCCAAAGTACAAGAATAAAAAATTACAGAATTGAAGGGAAAAACAGCTCTCCAGTAATAGCTGGAGACTTCAATATACCACTGTCAATAATGGACAGAACAACCAGACAGAAGATCAATGAAAAAACAGAAGACTTGAACAACATTATAAATCAGTTGAGCCCACTGCCGTACACAGAACATGCCATCCAGCAACAGCCGAATACACATTTTTCCCAAGTGTGCATGGAACTTCTCCAGGGTAGACAACATCTTAGACCACAAAATAAGTTTTACTACATTTAAGAAGGCTGAAATAATAAACAGTAACTTTTCTAATGACAATGTAATAAAACTAGAAACCAGTAACAAGAGGAAAACTGAAAAATTAAAAATATTTGGAAACAACACTATCTTGAACAACCAGAGGGTCAAAAAGAAGACCAGAATGGAAAGTAGAAAATACCTTAAGACAAATGAGAACAAAAACACAACACAAAAAAACTCACAGGAAGCAGTGAAAGCAGTGCCCAGAGGGAAATTTAGAGGCAGAAATGCTACACTAACAAAGAAGTAAGGTCTCAAACCCGCAACCTAAGCTCACGCCTTAGACACCAAAAAATAAAACTAAGGTCAGAGCTGGAAGAAGGAAGAAAATAAGAAAGACCAAAGTAGAGAAGTAAAATGGATACTAAACAATAGGTAAAAATCAGTGAAACACAAATTTAGTTCTTTGAAAATACCAACAAAATTGACAAAATTTTAGCCAAAAGGCAAAAAAAAAAAAAAAAAAAAGAAAAAAGACTCAAATTACTAAAATTAAAAATGAAATTCGGGACATTACTTCGAACTTTACAAAAATAAAAAGGATTGCCTGTCCAGTGTGGCTCAGTGGTTAAGCACCAATCTATAATCCAGGAAGTCCTGATTCGATTCCCATTCAGGACACATGCCCTCGTGGTGGGCTCCATCCCCAGCAGGGGGCAGGCAGGAGGCAGCTGATCAATGACTCTTTTATCATTGATGTCTCTCTCTCTCTCCCTCTCCCTTTCTCTCTCTGAAATCAATAAAAAACTATTTAGAAAATAATAATAATAATAATAATAATAATAATAATAATAAAGGATCATTAGAGTACACTATGAACAACTGTATGTCAAATAACTGGATAACCTATATGAAATGGATAAATTCCTAGAAACACACAACCTGCCTAGACTGAATTATGAAGAAATAGAAAATCTGAACAGATTAGGAATCAGTAAGGAAATCAAATCACTAATCAAAACCTCCCAACAAAGAATGTCCTTAGGCCAGAAGGCCTGACTGGTGAACGCTATCCAATATCTCAAGAAGAATAAACAACGGTTCTTCCGAAACTCTTCCAAAACACTGAGGAAGAGGGAACACATCCTACATCATTCCATGAGGCCAGGGCCAGGATTACTGTGATACCAAAGGCAGACAGATACCCAGAGAAAGAAACTGCAGACCAGCGTCTCTCTGAATATTGATGCAAAATCCCTCAACGAAATAATAGCAAGCCAAATTTGGCCGCATATTAAAAAGGATTATAAACCATGACCAAGTAGAATTTATTCATGGAATGGAAAGAGGGTTCGAGATACAATATTAATCAATGTAATGCACCACATTCAGAAAATGAGGGGAAAAGCACATTATCATCTCAATTGATGCAGACATTGAAAAACGGGTAAAACACTCAACAAACTAGGAATGGATGGAAACCTCCTCAATATAATAAGGGCCACATATAAAAACTATAGCTAACATTATGCTCTTTCACCTAAGACCAGGAAAAAGGCAAGGATGCCAGCTTTCAATGTTTCTATTCAACGTAGCACTGGAAGTTCTAGTCAGAGCAATTAGGAAAGAAAAGGTATCCAAATTAGAAAGGAATCAGTAAGAGTATCTGTTGGTAGATGGTACAATCTTATATGTAGCAAACCGTAAAGATTCCACACACAAAAAAGTTAGAATTAATACATGATTCATCACTGAGGATGTAAAGTCAACATGCAAATATCAGCTGAACCCTGTACACTACCAATGAGTAATCTGAAATGGAAGTTAGGAAAACAATTTCATCTGCAATAGCATCAAAAGTAATAAAATACTTAGGAATTAACCAGTAAGGTGAAAGACTTGTACAATAAAAATAATGAAAAGTGAAAGATCTGCCCATTTTTCAGGCCAACACACTCACCATACTTTTGAAAATTAGAAAAGATGAGAATACCAAATGTTGGTGAAGATATAGAACAAACAGAATTTCAAACGTTGCTAATGCAAGTGTAAATTGGTAGAATTCTATTGGCAAACTTTAGCATTATCTACTAAAGCTAAATATGTATAACCTAACAGTCAGCAAAAAATACATGCATAAAATGTTCATAGAAGCATCACTAATAATATCCAAATTCCAAACATTAGTCATACTATGGAATATTAAAAAAAGTCATAGAACTCAACGAATATAAATGAACTACAGCTACATATTTAGCAGAATGAATCACAGAGACACAACACAGTGCATGATTACATTTAGATCAAGCTCAAGAACAGATACAATTAACTCATAATAAATGTTTCGAGGGTACACAAGCAGCCTTCTATTGTTGGCAGGGTCATCATAAAGTGGACATAGTTTCTTTATGATAAATCCATTCAACTATATTACTATAGTTTGAATGTTTGTGTTCCCTAAAATTCATATGTTGAAAACCTAATCTCCAATGTGATAGCACTGTGATGGGGCCTCTGAGAGACGACGGGGGGATTAGTGCCTTTATGAAAGAGCCCAAGAGATGCTCTTACTTCTTCCACCTTCTGGGGACACAATGAGAAGGTGTCAACTATGAACCACAAAGTGTTGACACCTTGTGTTGGCATCTTGACCTTGACACCAATGTGTTGGCATCTTGACCTTGGATTTCTCAGACTTCAGAACTGTGAGAAATATATTTATGTTTTAAGAACATAAATAAGCTACCTAGTTTGTGGTATTTTCGTTACAGCAGCCTGAATAGATTGACATGTACACTTGTGATTTAGACACTTTTCTGGGTTATATGTCAATGAAAAATTAAGTATGTTATACTTTAATGAAAAATTTTTAAATGAAAAATAAAAAATGAATATTCTAAGCCCTATGATTGATGCTTGTGTATCATGTTCTGGGGACCCAAAGGAAAAGTGTTAATTTATCATTGATAATTATGCAGAGATATAAAAAAATTCAGAGATCAGAAATTGGTAAAACAATCAAAGCATCCTGAAATTGAATTTTATCTAAATTCATCTAGACACAATTCCACAGGCCCAATTAGTTATTTCTTTGTATTTCACCTTATTCCAGAGAGATTTTAGGGCATTTGGCATTAAAATTCTATCTGCAACATTCTTGTGAAGTTGTCTTCTAGAAATAAAACTAAAAACCAAACCAAGAACTCCAACAAAGGCAAAGTTTTAAAAAACTGCCTGGAGATATAAGTGCTCACTTCTTGTCTGCTACTGAATCATAACCATCCACCAATGCTACATGGGTAGAAATAATCCAACCCTCCACAAAAATTTGACTTTCTCTGACTGTCTTATTTCACTTAGCTTAACAAACCAAATAGAAACAGACTCATAGATACAGAGAACAGACTAACAGCTGTCAGAGGGGAGGGGAGTTGGGGGACTGAAGGGATTGAGGAAAAAACCCCTCACAGACACGAACAACAGCATGGTGATTACCAGAGGGAGAGGGGGTGGTGGAAGTAGGAGAGGGTAAAGTGGGGCTAAATGGTGATGAAAGGAGATTTTACTTGGGGTGATAAACACACAATACAATATATGATGTGTTACAGAACTGTATACCTCAAATCTAAATAATTTCATTAACCAATGCCACCCCAATAAATTCAATAATTTTTTTAAATTTCTCAAAACACCTAAGAGCTCTATGTACCACAAGAAAAGTGGAGTTACCTTCAATTGATTTTCCTTTTCCCACACAATAGACTGAATGAGGGTAAGATGATTCACAATGAAGATAAATAAGATTACTAAAGGCAGGAAAATACCAAAGAAGTTATAGAAGTAGTCATGATAATATATCGGGTATGGAAACCTCTGAACAAATACTTGAACATTACTGAACAGGACTCTTGCAGCGATGGGGTTATGATATTCCATGATGGCCTTATCCAAGGTATGTTGCATAAGCAGGAACCCTTCAGTGATGTACCCTAAATAAGAAAAGAAGGATTGTTAAGTACAACGGAACAATAAACAGCTGAGCTGAACCAAAACAAGGCAATAAAAGTATGTCAAAGACAAACAACAAAGTTAATGTTATAATGAGGCCCTTGCTGTCGAAATTTCACAGAGCCCTATTCAGTACAAAGTTTCAGTTTGGAAAGACGAAAAAGGTTCTGGAGATGTATGTACAACAATGTCAATGTACATAATGCCACAGATCTGTATACTAAAGGTGGTTAAAATGGTCAATTTTATTATGTACACGTTACCACAATAAAAAAAGGTTTTAAAAAAATTTCACAGAGAAGCTATCATGGTTCCCCCACACAAATACATAATAAATACTTTTTAAATAGAAGATCCTAATTCCCAGCTTCCTAGAAGTAAAATATTGTGAGTAATTATAGAGCTGCTTTCTGCAACTTCAATCAACTGAATGAGAACTGGATTAATTATTGGATAGGTGAAGACGCTGATTCTGTACCCTTGGCATTTGAAAAAGTAAATGAAACTCAAGCTGAGCGAGTTATGCCAAGTGATGTCCACTAAGGCAATGCTACTCAGTGCGCCTTGGATCTGTCACAGAATGCAAACACTCTCTTACTGGAAGATGAGTTTACTACAGAAATTAAGAGCAAACACTGAAAAACTTTTATAGAAATTTGGCATTGCCATGACATCTAAAAACTGGTCTTTCTATTAATCAATATTAAGCCCTTTATAGATTTTGAATGTGAATCATGAGTAATCTTTTCTCTCCTCTGAATCTTGCTTTTTAATTTTAAGTAGTCCTTCATAAGAACATAAATATTTAATTTTAATAAAGTTCAATGTATCATTTTTTCTTTTGTAGTAAATAAACCACTGCCTAATAAATCACGGCCTACCCCCAAAGTTATGAAAACACTCTCATAAATTTTGTTGTAGGAGCTTTGATTTTAGCTTTTACATTTACATTTACAATCATCTTGAATTAATTAATTTTGTGTAGGTATAAGTTAGTAATCAAGATTTATTCTTTTCAAAGGGATATCAAGTTATTCCATCACTGGTTGTTCATAAGGTTTCCTTCCCCCAGTGAATTACATTGGCGCCTTTATGGAAAATCAAATGACTGTACATTAGTCTATTTCCAAACACCTCACTCCTTCTATTGATCTATTTATTCATCCTTATGATTAACAAATTGATCTATTTGTTCATCCTTGGTTGTTCTTGTTGTTATAGTTAAGTCTTGAATGTTCTCTAACACAGTTAATTCCTTTTCAATATCATATAACTCACCCAGATCCTTTGAATTTCCATACAAATTTTAGAATAAGCTTGCTGATTTCTTCAAAAATTCCTTCCGGGATTTTTGACTGTCAATGTACTAACTCTATAGGTCAATTTAGGAAGAATTTTTATGCTAACATTTTTTGAGTCTCTGAATCAGAGGTTAAGATGTCTCATCTTTTGTTTAGGTGTTTTAAAATATTCTCTCAGAAATGTTTTGTTGCTTTTGATGTAGATTCATAACTTATTTTTGTAGGCTGTCTTTGTATCTTGGGATTTTACTAAATTAACCCATTATTTGAAGTACATTTTTGTGGATTTCTTTAGAAACCATGTGATTCTATCAACTGCAAAGAAAAACAGTTTCATTCTTTTGTTTCCCAAAATATATGCTTTTTTGTTTCCTGGTACAGGTTAGGGTTTTTTATAATACGCTGAATAGAATTTATGAGAGCAAATATCTGTGCTTTAATCTTGACATTAGGGGGGAAAAGTTAAGTATTTTACCAATAAGCTACAAATGTCTCATATGTGTTTACCAGATTGAGAAAATTCACTTTTATTGTTACTTTGGTTTGTGGGGGTTTTTTAAATATACTTTTTACTTTGGGGGGGAAATAATCTTACAGAAAAGCTGCAAAGGTAGTAGGGAAAGTTATATGCACCACGCAATCTTTTTTTTTTTTTTTTTT